TACTCTCTCTCTCTCTTGTCTCTCTCTCTCTCTCTCTCTCTCTTTGTCTCTCTCTCTCTCTCTATGTTGTATGCAAGAACCTTTTTTGTTTTCATTCACCAAAAAACATAACCCTAATAATAAATAACAAGTAAACCCAAAAATGAAAATAAAAATAAATAATTTGAATAATCCATCTCCTAATCTACATCATTCTACCCTGGTTGGAGAAAAGTTGCCCTCGAATTTTGAAATGAGTTCGTATGAGTCCTCCTTTAAACACATGGTCTTTCTCAAACTAAACCCGAATATTGTGCATTGAGATTAGGGCTTGTTCCTGGGACCCCATGGGTTCTAGGCTTGATCAAAAAATCCTCAATAATATCCTCAAACAAATTGCTGAGAATTTTGGTGCACCCATATTTTGTTGCCTGGCACTGTGAGATAGAATCCTCTAATTGAAAACAAGAAATGTAAGCCCCACCATTGTTGGAAGAAAATAGTTCTTTAGGGTTTCTGCCCCCTATTGCCTCCTTCCTCAACTTCTTTCATTCTTCCTCTAAAATATCCTTAGGCCCAAGCGCCTCTGGGTTCAAGTCGATTTTTGCTTCTCCATCTCTCTATTCATGAGGAAATTGGATCCTTGCTGCCTCAAGGCCAACTTCTTTCCTTTCATCTTGTTCTTCATCAAAAATGGGACGTTCATCAAAGATGGGGTCACTTGTAGCATCAAGGAGTAATTCCAATGTAAGATCCAAACGTACTTATTCTCCCTCATAGTAATGGTCATGTCGATGCCTTTGCGCATCGAACTCATCTATGGAAACTTGACACATCATCATTATGCTCCCACTATGAGTCGGACAGTGGGTCATGCCATTCTCCATAAAAACCCTCACGATTCAGATTTATCCCTATGGGTTCCTCTTTGTTTAGGACAGGCTGTTACCAGCCTTGCTTGCTTAACATTTGTATAACCGTCTTCGTAAATTTATTGATTTCCTTGAGCAATCGGATCAGATCGGCATCCCTACAACTAAGACCTCCACGATCTGTCATCGCAATCTCCAGCCGTCTTTGAACTATGCTCTGATACCAATTTGATGCAGAGAAAATCATCCAAAAGAGAAAATCAAGAGAAATCTCTCTCTCTCTCT